TATGCTCAGCGTAGTCGATTACCTATAGTCCATGGCATTTTGAGATTCCCAGAGATGTCTGCTCGGAGATAGACACGTGCTCGGGGAAAGCGAGCCCTGCCCGAACGACGATAGCTAGAGAGCCGGGCCTTGCATAATTTTGTAGAGTAACGTCCGAACTACCTACGCATGCAAAAAGATTACTAACATTGTATGTTAGTTTTCTGAGAACGGAGCTGGTTTTCCAAAGATCCTCTAACAACCCTATCTCTGGAATTTTTTCAAAAGTTGCTTCCGCTTGTGAAAAGTTCTGCTCAAGTCTTGGCTATTGAACAGCGAAAATCGCAGGTTTCTATCTCATTCCTATCAAAAGTTATTAAAAAAATGCCCACGGGTCTTGTATTTTGGGATGGATAGTAGTTTTTGTACTATACCCAGTAGTGTTGTCCATTCGATCGGATTGCTTTATTTTATTCATTTCTGTACGCCATATTTTATTAATATAATTATTTATAATAATAATTATTATATAATTATTTAATTATTGTACATGAAGTATATATACATGTAGTCAGAAACGGAAATTAATCACTATCTATTCTATTTGTATTAAACTTTACCATAATGATTTCTCTGATATATCTTGCACTATATTTCATGTTAGCTTTTGTTAAAAGTAAGCGTAAGAAACATATTTTTTTTTTACTTTATACTTTTCGTCACACCCAAGACAAAATTGTGAATACTATGGTTTATTGGAAATGTGAAGACCGTTCGTGTCCTGGGCATGCTATACAATATGGATCGGATCCACAAAGTATTAAGAAACCGCACAATCAAGAAAACATGTGCACTTGCATTCATGCCGCCGCAAGAAGTTGGGAAAATATGGACATTTATTATGGATTAATTTCAAGATATTGAGCATATTGAGGTATTTTACGATTATGTAACAAGTACGTGGGTGGATGATGATGCGTTATTCAATTTATCACTGTGGAATTGTTTTGATTTTAAAAGTTCAAGAACAAATAATAGTTTAGAAGATTGGCATCATCGTTTAAATACTGATTCATATCATACATCCACATTTTTATATGTTTATTCGTGCTATTCAAAACAATTATGCATATAATTCAGCAATATCATCACGTCATACAGCCACTGGTACAATACCACCAAGAAAAAAGTTATTTGTGAATCGAAAGGCACGATTACACGATTTAGAAAATCGTTATAAACAACAGACATTAACACTGGAAGAATATCTTGAAAAAGTGATGCGATTAATTGGTATCAAAAAGTTTTGATTTTCATTTAGTTTTCGTTTGTGTTGTTTCTTCCTCTAATAATGTACTCATGTACTTTTTCAATAGAATCATTTGAAATAATTCAGCATTCTTTTTAATTAGTCTATTTAAAAAAGCCTTATTAATTAATAACAATCTATATTCACTTTTTTCAATACAGTCTATCAATTAGAATAATCTATATTCTAGTTTTAGTTTTCGACGAACAGGAACAGCTAAAGCTTTATGTTTGACAAAAGAGGAACACTAGAAAGAAAGCTCTAAACATTTTTTCGACAAAACAGGAATATTAATTAAGCTTTCGACGAAACGGGAATTCACCTATACAACATACTAATCCTATTTCTCTTATCTCTCCCCTTTAAAATCTGGCCGAAAAAGGTTCAGTAGTAGTAGTAGTTTTCTATGAAAAAAAGTGAAATAAAGAGCAGTAGACAAAATATACTTTGAATCTTATACACACGGCACAAAGTCAAGGACTCGGAGACAGAAGTTCTCACAATCTTTATAAAGCATAATTCATTCTACAGTTTTTTTCTTATCGGTTTTTTATGAATAGCAAACGAGAAATATATGCCAACTTTTCAATATTATCACAATTTATGAAGGCGTTTAATTCATATAAAGTAGGCGGAGTGTATTAGAATGCTATTGAAATATATACGCATGCATTTGAATATAGATCTAAAAGTATTTCGAATCGAAGGTACTATCGCTTGAGAGAAAATGAACATCTGTCGATGGTTTTATTTTTAATTCAAAAATATTTGTATAAATATGCGAAACGCAACTCAACAGTGCTTTTAAAGTTATATTATTTGAAGTAAGTAAGCAAAGATAACATCAAATAGTGTCTCACGTCTTTTATAACACATTCACTACTGTACTTAGGTGAATCAAAAGATGAATTCCATCTTGTGTTTAATTGCTTTCATCGGTATTGCAAATGCAGCTGTTTTGCGTAAGTAACTAGAAATAATTCGTCGCTTGTTTTCTATTCGATTGGTTTTTACTTTTCAGCCTTTAATCCATGTGCAAACACATTCTGTACAATGCAATTGATTATGTGTCCCGATGGAAAGCCAGCACCAATTCCAGTTGGCGGCTGTTGTCCAAGCAAAGCTGCATGCCAAAAGCCAATAGGTAAGAAGTGAAGTAGAACAGGCTTGTTCGGTTGAATAACAACATGTTCAACTCTTCCAGTTAATCCATGCGCAGCTGCTTTTTGTACAATGGATTTGAAAATCTGTCCAGATGGTTCATTGGCTCCAGTTCCAGCTGGTGGTTGTTGCCCAAGTATGAGTGCTTGTCCAGCGGGTATGAGAAAATTACTAACTCAACAGGTTTGTTCGTTTGTGTAACAACATGTTCAACTCTTCCAGTTAATCCATGCGAAGGTGCTTTTTGCACAATGGATTTGAAAATTTGTCCAGATGGTTCATTGGCTCCAATTCCAGCTGGTAGTTGTTGCCCAAGTTTGAGTGCTTGTCCAACCGGTATGAAAAAATCACAAACTCAATAAAAATCATTATAATATGAGCTTTTCTTGTGAAATTTTGTAGCACAATCGATCTCAAAACGAAATATCAATCTTGGATCACTCGGTTCATTATTATCAGGAAGTAATATATTATCAACTCTCTCTGGAGCCACACATGGAACTGATTTGGGTACAGTGTTATCAATTTTAAACACATTGAATGCTGTTCATCAATTGGGTAATGATATCCATCACATACCAGATGCCATTAATCAAACTTTACAAGCCATTTTAAACGGTACCAGTCAAGCTGGAGTTGTTCTTCAACAATTACTCAATGGAGGTCTAAAACCATTAAGCGGAGGACAAGGTAAGTCACAATATGCTATAAACTGCTCATACACTCATTTGAAGCATAAATCGCACAGTTGACCATTAAATCAAAAATGAAGCAAAACTGGAGCAGATAACAAATATTTTTCCTGCTGAACTGTATTTTAAATAGCGTTAGCTTTATACCAAATACGATTAAGTCACTAGTATAGAGAAAACGCATCGCTTCTTATAAGAAAAACACACACTTCATCAAGCCGTTTCTAGATCAGATAGGTTGAATAATGATCGGATGAATTGTTAACCGATGACTACTACTTTCTGTATGGGCGCAAATTTTTTGCTGATCATTAAGCGATACAACAGCCGAAAGATCATTGCTACTATCTTTCGCCTAATTGTATCTTTTCAAAATGTTGGTGATAATTTGAACTTGCTAGTTGATCTAATGAAATGTTTAATCCTGCATCTTATCGACNGAAGCAAAACTGGAGCAGATAGCAGATTTTTTCCTAGAACTCGCTTCAATGTCTGAGGAAGCCACGTTGGGTCTACTTCGTATTATTAGTGGATACGTTGTAGTCTTCAGTTTAGTTCAGAGGACTACGGGAATTACATTAAAAATTGCAAAATTGTAGATTTGAAACTATGCGTTGTCTCGTGGAATAAGAAGATTTTTTAAGACCATAACTAATGAACACTTTTTGCTGAAATTACTAACTTTTTTGCTAAACGTAAGTACACATTTATATATTTCTCTCGCATATTATATAAAGATGACATATTTTTTTAATTTTAGCAACAAGTCGTAATTTATTAGGTTCATTAGGACAAAATGCAAATTTATTATCCAGTATAACAAATTTGTTACCTCATGGAACATCATTATCAACAATAATGACAATATTAAACTTATTGGGAAATGTTCATCAATTAAATACAGGTATTGATATTCTAATGCCCAATGCCATAGGGATCAAAACAGCTATGTAAGAATTTTTATTATATTACAGATATTCATCAAATACCATCAGTTCTCAACGAAACACTTACAAACATATTAAACGGTGCCCAAAATTTGTTGACGCCAGTCGTTTTACAACCAATTCACTCATAAGAAATAAATGTAAGATTAAGTGTATAAAGTCTGTTTTTTTATATTGATCATACCTTTTCTCTTAATTAGATAAGAATATTACCGGCTAAAATCAACGTACGTCAACTTTAATAATCGAACAAGAACGATATTGACGAAAAGTTTTATGTTTTTCGAATTGACTGTACTTTATTTGCTTTTATAAAAAATAAATTTTTTATAAACGGCGTTTCACTTATGTAATATTATCTCACTTCGTATCCGATCAATTCATACATGTGATACTGCAAATCTTAATGTAGGATAGAAGATGAATAGGATCTTCTATTTTGGCAACTAACACCGATTCAATTTTTAGATCAGAATACGTCGAAGAACCTCTGAGACAAATTATCAGCAGTAGGGAGAATCCATATTGGATATGACGAACAAGCAGACACATAGACGGAATAATTTCGTGAGACGGGCAAAATTACAGCTTCAAAGTATAGAAATCGGATTCTCCATATAAAAAAATGATTATCACAAAATTGTGATTAATCCCTGGAGACATTAATTTTGGAATACTACTTATAAGTGGCACTATCATAACGGCGCGACTTGTAATAACATCGAGCATAATTGCATTAAAAGTTAACCATTATTTCGTGATAATCCTTTTTTTATATGGGCAATCCGATTTTTGTACTTTGATGTTTTCATTCTGCCCTTCTTACAAGGTCATTCCGGTCATATGGAGAGTAAGAGGAGAGCTAGACAGAATTTTACGTATCATGAATAAATAAAAAAACAAAGGTTTTTCAAGCTTCTCAATTCGGATAGCATATTGCAAGGAGCTCCAATATAGAAAAATTTAAACTTCTCGGTTATTCACATATTGCCATTTGTTCAGCTGAAGATTTTCTCACCGTGAAAAATTTACTTGTAAGGCAAATGATATTATACACGGTAGAATAAGAAACAAAACCAGTGTGTTTGCTATAGATTATTTTATTCTTCCATTACTTTGAATTTTTATCTTTTTTAACACAAATTATCTCTATGTAACGAGTGCGGCAGGGTAAATGACTCTATTTTTTCCAAATAATCCTTTTATTTTTGACCGTGTAGGCTTGAAGGTTTTTTAAGAAAATTGGTCATTTCATTCTCTACACGAATCGTATTGAACATTTTTTGTATATCGTGAAAATAAAAGAATATAGACAAAATACTGAGCAGCTTCAATTACCCTGACTTTCCAACACAAAACACACTTTTTCAATTTCAGTCCTATATATTTTGCGATATAGAGTAAGAAAAGATTGCCATCCTGTAGTCCTTGAATAGCTCTATCAACTGCATTTATTTAAAATTAAACATGAAACTCTATTATCAAGCTAAAAAATAAAAAATATGTCAATTACAGTTTCTTGCCACCAAGTTGCATTTAACTTACTTCATACGAATGAAATTATCTTTTCCATTTTGTCTATATTTTAATCGCAAAGATTATACATGGCTAATAAACCAATCGTTTTCTTGGGTAACATTGCACCATACCAAATCTCTTGTTTGTTTTGTGCTTTTCTCCATGACTAGATCAGCTAGCGACTTCATGATTGTGTCAAAATATCTATTATAACCACCTTGTTCATTGCTGAAAGTCTACCAGAGAGTTGGATTAGTCCTTTAGTAGTTATACGTAAAATAGAGGGCATTACACCATGAGACAAAAAAGGACAAAACTTTCTAGTTGTCAGCCGCATTTTTCTACTAATCTAAAGAATTTTGAAATATAGCTTAACCCTCATATCACCACCTGAGGTTCACCCGGACCCCAGCCAGTTTCATTTTAATGCTATACACATACACCAGTGAATCAAACTTCGCCTCTTGAGATATGCCATTGGAAAGGTAAGTAGAGTATGTTGATAACATCAGTCAATCACATCCAGTTGTTGTTGATAGGATAGCCTAGTAGATTTAAACGCTTCTGTACCATCTGGGGTCCGTATAGACCCCAGATTGTTAACACTACAGCAATCCATGAACTAACATTAGGTTGCACTAGAACATGTCATCGAATGTAGAATTTAATTCTGAACAAAATGGTGTGACTGTTAAGTTGAACAATAAAAACTTTTAGACTATTTCGAATTAAAAGATTACAATGGCAAAAGTCTGTCAGAAGACGGGTTTTTTTCGGTAGTTTCACATTTTTTACTTTAAAACTTTTTCTCTCAAGTACTTCTTCTAAAATTCTGAAGCGTACATCAACAGATGCAGAATTTTATGGAGAACATTGTGGCATATTTGAAATTCCAGGGCGAACTGTTATGAAAAAATTTTAATCGTTTTTTCATTTTTTAATCGTCGCAGTTGGAGGATTGAGTAGGTTCTAATTTTTTAAATGTTACACTGACAAGAAAATTTTATTTGAAAAACAAAGTCGACAGTTTTGTAGAGCAATGCATTTTCTAACGAATGAGCCCAAAATCAGATTTTAAAACAATTTTGAGTGCCTCAAAAACAAAGAACAAAAGTGGCTCATTTAATCTGAGCCACTGGTTAGTTTCAATATTTACGAATACATTGAAATTACATTATAATTTCCACAATAGGCAGCTAATAGTGCATAATCATTGTAGTTTTTTGTATCGTAGATGGATTCTTGAAAGAAAACGTGCAAAACGAAGAGTAATTGCTCATGCGAGGAAATACTTTGCAAGGATAAAAATTCAGCTACGTCATCAACTCTTCGCGTCTTTTCTTGTAATACCTTTTCTTTTCTCTAGTATATTCGATCTTTTGTCGCTTTTTCAATGACTAATGGTGCATAATAAACACTGATTTCAATTTCGAGTAGAACGAAGATGATGAATAAATAGTGACACAGCAAACAACATTCCACGAATGAACATAGTTTCGCTATTTTCTGTTCACTTTGTTGCCTGAGAATGATTATTGCTCTGCGGTAATGATAAAATAAATAAAATATAAAATATAAAGTACCCTAGCGGACTAAGAACAAAAGTTTTCAAAGAGAGTTACGTCGGGCTTGTCGATAACTGAGATGAATATGTGTTGATAGAAGAATTTTGCCAAATGGAACATTTATGGATGCCAATGGATAATTTTGTCAATCACGCCACACGTCTTCTGCATACTTATGTTTAAATAAAGCTTCCTGAGTGCAAGCCTCTGATTTGAAATGGTCAAATCTACTGTTCACACACCATCTTACGCTAAGGAACATCTCGACGAAACTCCTTCTGCCTAACATGCACGACACAATCTCACGTATTTTCTGTACACATTTACATTTGTCATTACTCCAACAATAGAATACAAAAATAGTTATAAAATTCAACATCTGGTGTAATACTTGCCGGAAGTAGTGTGGTGAATTGTTATTGCTATAGTCAATTATTGTTGCTAAAAATAGTATTATGTAGTTTCGAAATTTTATTAACATTTTTAACATCCAATTCTCGAATCTTTCTTCGAGTAATTAAGACAAAAATTACGACTACAAGTACGAGTATTCAAAAATTTGTACTTCACTCTACTCGAGTATGACTAAATCCTGTATCCGCTCATCTCTGTCTAACCAATCATTTCTGTTCATTGTCTAGAGTATTTGTTTCTCTTGATCTTTTTGACTGGTTTATTCAGGTAGTTTTATTGAAAATAAAACATTTATATACACCCAGGCCTAAAATGTGACCATCAAACATTATTAACAGCGGACTGTTAACGTGACTCTACAGATCTTAGTTGGTACAGTGTCTGTGACTTTGGAGTTTTTGAGCTATATGCCCGTGAAAGTCTTTCTCTTTAGTAATCCGTCCGCTAAGACAAATGATTGAATAAGAATAAAATAATCACGCTACAAAACAAACAAACGATTGTAGTACATTGGAGCCGTTCTGGAAATCCTCCAACAAGAGGTGGCAATATAACACCTGCACCAGTTCCAGTGTTTGTACCATTTGCACCAGTACCAGTGTTTGTGCCACCTGACCCAGTACCAGTGTTTGTACCACCTGAGCCTGTACCAGTGTTTGCACCACCTGAGCTTGTACCAGTGTTTGTACCATTTGCACCAGTACCAGTGTTTGTGCCACCTGAGCCTGTACCAGTGTTTGTGCCACCTGAGCCCGTACCAGTGTTTGTACCACCTGAGCCAGTACCAGTGTTTGTGCCACCTGAGCCTGTACCAGTGTTTGTACCACCTACATTAGTTCCATTGTTTGTACCGCCTGCACCTAATGTCCCTGTGTTAGTGTTTGTGCCACTGCCTGCTGCGCCGTAACATTCTTCATTAACGAGAATAAACAAATAACCAATAATAAGAAAATATTTCCTAGCCAACATGTTGAATATTAACAGAAAGCAGATAATGTACTGAATAGACGCATATATTATAAGAAAATATCCGTGTGTGATCTCAAGCGTATAATATATCTCTATCGTTTCATCATAATCGTCTTCAAGAAAATAAAGGTAAAACAAGCACGCGGACTATATACAGGTGCATTACACATATTTTTTTATTATGCTTGTGAACTATAATAATTTAATCGAATGTACATCATTCGTTACGAGCATAACTATCTATTGAGGGTGAAAGAAGTCCATAAATTATTAAGGTAAGCCTGGCGCCCAAGCTAAACTTACACATGCTATATCCTAAGTCGTAATTTATATTGAAATCATCAATTTTTTCTACCGTTATCTCATTTTACGATGTATTACCGTTGCAATCGAATTGAATTTGAACAAGCGGAAAATTGTGCTGTGATTGATTTCCTTTACCGATCTCTTGACTTCTCGTTACGTGAAAATGTGCGCTGAACAATGTTTGTCTGTAGCTTATTAGCCATGCAATTTTCTTTGAAGGAGGAGAATAACAAGCGTAAAAACAAAACAAATTACCGATGCTGCGGTACATGTTTACGACCCGTACAATGTTGATGCACTAAGCCTAACTGTGCTATTATACTCGCACCAAACGATCAGACTGTAGAGGTTCGGATTATAACAAACAGAAAGCATTTAAATTGATTTAAAACCGGTCAACAAAATTTCAGTTACATTTACACCTGTCAACTGTCTTAAAAGTGAGTGAAACACACCAAAATTATTGAAAATCTTTTAGACTCGATAAAACGGAGAAAGACATTCTTCTCTATTTTTATGTGGAGGAGAATTGAATAATTATCTTTTTCTGTTAAATAAACACATGAGGATTATTATCCTCAAATTTCTTCCTGATATAGTCATATATATATGTAACAATAATAGAGAGAGGAATGTAAAACTGCGTAGGGAAATGATACAATAAATGGTACGACAGAACTGATGTGATGAAGAAAGAAGGTATGACCAAGAGATGAAGGATGTGAACGTGAACAACGTGATGAAAAACGTGAGGAGCTTTTATCTACCTAACAAGGTTCCCATGAGAATTTTGTGCATCTCGTTCAAAAAAACACGTATAACTCTGGAAGAGGTCTCATTTTCATCAGAATTTTACGGGCTACAACCTGGAGAGGGCAAAAAAGTATTTCAATGAGATCTTCATGGTTTTAGGTTTTCTGAAAAATCGGGTTTTGAGAAATACTCTAGGAAAATGAATAGACCAGAAACCAAAATCTGCTATCTAAATACATCCGAGCGTGGTCCTACATTTTGATCTAACGCTTGAACCATAAACATTTTTGCGCACAGAGAAAATCGGGTTATTGGGTCTCACGTTTAAACCACGAATTCTATTTCGGCGGAGCGGTTTTAAAATCTGTGAAGGAGCGAAAAAGGTAGCCCGTGTTCTGCAGTATAAATTCATATTAAAAGATAGTTTTTAATATGAATTAAATCACAGTGGGAGTCGGGAACGAGTAAGGAAAGGCTAGATTTTTTGTGCGCAATTAAGAGAAACAACTTAAACTGCATCTAGTCAATTTAGTACTACTTAAAAAGACGAAAAATGAGAAAAGAAAGAAGTTCGTTTTTTCGTAAAAATAAACTTTTTCGATGGTGTGTGATTTCGCCAAGTTGTTTTATGTTAACAAAAAATATTTGTGCCAAAACAAATTCGTACATTAGATTGAGCGCGAAAAACTGTTTCTAGAAAGGTGGCTTGATCTTCGTCAAAGATTACAATCGTGTCAAAAATAAAAGTGCAGAGACATTTCGTGACGGAATCACGTGTCCAAAATACCACGTTTACAAATTCAAATGACTCAGTCATCCGAGCACAGAAATTAATTTATTTTACGTGAAAAATAAGTTTATCTATTCTACTTTCGATTCGAGCCACAAACGGAACAAAGAAACAACTAGCTTTCAGCCCGAATAAAAATGAAAAAACTCATCGGTGCGCTGTTCTTTTACGGTTCAAGACACCATCTGTCAAGAAGTCTTTTTCTCTAAAAGGTGAGCACAAAACGATGAAAAACAAATGCACTTTTATACATTATTGACCATCCTCTAAAACATAGCAGTGTTACTTTTAGCCGACTTTGCACTTCAACTTTGACATAAAAGTCTATCGTTACGTGGACTGGCCGCTCTAGATTTTTCCTGTTAATTTTGCTAGCGCTTCTTCTTCCTCTTTGTCCTGTACTTCACTCATATTACTCTGTTGAAAAAATGGAAATTGTCTGTAATCTTCTTTTCTAATTTTGTTCGGGGAATACTGTTTAACTTTTAACCATTGTTCAATACAATCAATACCAATTAAATCGACATTTTGATTAAATTTGTTTACAAATAATCTTTTACTTTCCATAACATGTGTCAGATCTTTGTAGGTGAATTGACAAAGTTCACCTCGACCAAATATTTGTGATTTACACATATGCCGCTGTGTTTCTATCCATACCTTATAATGCGATAACAAACGAAGATTTGAATAACTTTTCCATGAGTAACCGGGAAAGTCTGGTCGACGGTTAAGGGACGAGTAGAAATGTTCATCAGGCACATTGGTACCATTCAAATAAATGTATAAGTGCTGAGCTAGTGGACTTGTGTGTAGGTATTCTACAAATTTTCGAGTTAATATAACATGAAATTCACCTTTCCATAAGGTGACATTTTCCGGAGGTGGATGAAGTTTCATAGCGTGACGGTATAAATGAGTGTTTTTGTATGATGTTATATCATTTTTTAAACCATTACCTCAAAGAAACAAATTCACTTGATATGCAAATTTAAATGGGAGAATTATAGAGGTAAAGACTTTTCATAACACATTTTCTTTCTGCAATTAATAGTCGAACGATCTGTGAAGAAATAGCATAACTTTGGCAGGAAGTAGACGGCACTAGAAGTATTTTAGTATCATATAAACGTACCTAAAGCGAGAATATTTGCTCGTTCATAATTTGTTTGTAATGGTAATTCTGTTCCAGCTAAATTCATGTAATATTTCCATGTTTTCTCTTTATTTAACAATAATAGTTGACAGGAACGTTCGGCCTCTAGAATCGAAAATCCCGCCCATCTTACCGTCAATCGAACTGGCGACAAGTACACATTTTCTAAACATTCACTCAGTTTAACGACATATTTATACATTATGATAGGTGCTTTAACATCAACATGAATACAATGAAAATTTGAGCGGCTATACAAAGTTCTCAAAAGAACTTGAAACTGATAAAAATGTTTATATGCGAGTATAGTAAATGCTATGGTATAATTGTATTCTATTGCGGTGATTGGACGAGAATAAAAGCCATTTAATTCAATAAATTCTGAACAAGACATTTTCCTATAACATAGATGTCAGAGATATTTGAAATCTATTTGTAACATCTCATTTACCCGCTGAAATATGGATTTGTTTTCTTGATTTGTTGAAGAGCAAGCGAGGTTTGATTCATTTCAGTAATATTTATGCTAGATATATTCGTTATTAATCGGCCACAAAACGTATTTTGAAAAATTTTTTTTGCAGAGTTTTCATTCGTAGAGTTGGAAGATATCATCGAATAATTCATAAAAGAATACGTTAATTTTGATATTATCAGCAGCAGTGAAAATAACGTGTATAAAATATATTGATGGTAGAGCTGTAAGAAAAACAGATAAAAGTTCATGTACAATCTCTAATTTGGAAATATTGCTCATTTGTTCATGAGACTTAAAAAAAAATGATAGTAATCGTAGAATGACTCAGTAGTCTATTAGAGAACGTGATTATCCAATTGAGGTTACATCAAACTAAATGCGTTAATAAACGTCATCCGTTAGAGATGAAAAGTTGCATATCTCCATCAAGAATTGTGTTCAAAATGTTTCACGTTGTTTTATACTCTGGAAGAAAGTTATATGCCTGTCATTATATGAATGCAAGTAAGTACACAGAAAGTATCTATTTGGGAGTTTCAATCTTTTCTACTCACCCATCGTACTTTCAATCGTAAGTTCATGTTAGTCGATTATTTCTTTGAAGTAAGATAACATCATCATTTGGAAATATGTTGATTTCATACGTGTGTATGACAAAAATATGCTAAAGAACAGTTGCTGCCGCATGGAATGAAGAAAATAGTGTACCGATGAAAAATTGATGAATGTGCTTTTTTATCAATCAACGATAATTTCCTATTATTATTCTTTCCTTTTCTCTGTTCTCTGTCCCATTGCAACAGCATGACACAAAAGGACGGCTCGTAGCTGACAGTGAAAGAACTGTCTCTCATTTCTAAACAAGAAATGAACTCAACTGGTAGTATAGCATAATAACTTTTGTAGTTATTGGATAATTTAACTGTTTATAGATAACTAAAAACTTGCTTCCAAAGTATATTTTCTGGTATATTTCGCCAACCGGTCTGTCTTGATTGCTTGAATGCATTCTCTAACAAAAAAAAAAAACAATTCTCGAAATAACTTTTAACTTGAGAAGAATTTATCGAAAAAAGAGAAGAAAAATATCAGTTTCTAAACTCTTTTTATCATTTCCACTTTTGGTCACATTTCATTCATATGTCCATCTACACATCAATTACTGTTTCTAATCTGGACATCTAATCTTATTTTTTTAGGATTATTTTATGGCTTTGGATTTTAAAAAGTCATTAGATGTTAGTTGTCTAAATTGTGCGCGTGGAATACCTCGGGTTAGATTGTTTATTGCCTTATTTATGTTACTGGTAACTGCTCCACTCTATGGTTTACGAGAGAAATTAATTCGATCTTATATTTCTACCTCATGTAGGGTCCTGAATGACACATTGGAAAAAGTTAGTTATGATCCAGAAGATAGAAGTCATGTATGTTATGAAAATATTTGGTTTGTTAATTAACTTAACAGTGCTAGTCAGCAATATCAGACAGCCATGCTAAGTGAATACTGTTCATCTTATCATGATTCAGTTACACAATTAAATTATCACAAAGTAATTACTCTTATCTGTTAGTTAATAAGTCAAATTTTAGAAAGTAATTTTTTTCATTTTCCCGTTTAGATCAGAGGAAATTATACGTGTTATTATAAAACAAGGAAAAATTATGATATTCAATGGAAACAGCTTCGTTCAAAGAGAGAATTAACCGCTTTAATAATAGCAATTGTGCTCGCGATAGTTTGCTTACCTCTTACGCTGATTTCTATCATTATTGATAAAACAAAACGGAACAATGTCGAAAATTAATAATTTTGCAGTTCTTTGCATTCTGCTCACTCAAAATATTTTGATTTTATACCGTTTGTACCGTCTCAGTTCTCAAATTCCATGACAACGAGATAACCCTCTACTATTGTAAAGATTTCAATAAGACATTTTTTAACCCTTTACTCAGTCACTGCAGAGACCATTTTTAGTACGATTGTAAAAGATAAAGGAAGCATGAAATTCAAAAACTTTGGAAACATTTCTTGTAGTGAATTCCATAAGCTATCGATTGATTAAAAGAATATTTTGTTTTGTTGCTCTACCTCCGAAGACAATGAGTTACAAAATCGGTAAGTTTGTAAAAAACCTCGAAAGTTGAATTTTTTTAACAATTATTTTTTTACCAACAGGCAAGACACATCTTGGGGACGTATTGTGTGATATATATCGACGATAATGTCTATTACTGATATCAATGCCTTCGAAAGTTTCACAAAAGCTAGATAGATAAGAGATGGCAAGTCATACAATGGTCTGACTATTGGGAGGGAACGAACAAATAGCGTTTTGTGTTTATAAATAATGTCAATTATTTACTAAACTACGGGTCGTTATCAAGAAGTATTAAATATGTAGCAAATACAACATATTCGAAAAAAATAACTTTTTATATCGTTGTCATTGTTTCGATTACTATTTATTTCATTTCCATCGAGCGACCAAAAACATAGAAGCCAAAGTAGGAAAGAGAAGAGAGTCAATAAATATTCAAAGAGTAGAATGCAGAGTATGTGTTATAGAACGAGAGGAAGCATTCTCACAGCTACGCGTATAACAATTTACTGATAAGACATAGAAGACCGCAGCACAGAGTTAGAAAGGAGAAGAAATACTACGAATAATATAATAATCAAAATAACTAAT